TTAGCCATGGCATTCAGAGCCCCTGAATTTAGTGAGGCAAGCTTTTGCTGCCAGACTGTGTACTTCCTAATCCATGTGCTCTGCAACAGTGCTCTGCAACAGTACTCTTTTCCTGCAAGGAAGATTTGGCTCCTTACCTGTGTGGAGTAAAAGCCTCCGTAGGGATTCTGCCGTTTGGTGAGGGAACGCACTATCTGTGAGGGTTTATCTGTGGACACATCCGATGCAGAAAGATGGGCCAAGAGAAAGTAGGCAGTTGTCTCAGTCTCTAAGAAGGACAGAGTACCATCTAAAAGGGGGGGGGGAATAATGGAATGAAAATGGATTAAAATTCAATCCAGAACATAAGACCACCACTTGGTCTCACATTAATGTCCAACAATAATTCACAGTAATTCATGGAGAAGTGCAGGTGCTTCCAAGATTTTGCCCACTAGGCTGCTGTATTTTGCACACCCCGAAGGCAACTGGGAAGCAACAATTTAATCTCAGAATTGTTAACCATGTTTTCTGAAAAAGATATAACAACACAACTGGGAAAATATCCAGATATTAGGTGATCCTATAGATGAGTACAGGTCTGGTGGGCCCTTCAGCAAAATGTCTTCTGTAGTCCAGTTCTTACATCAGTGCATCTCTCAAGCATGTTCACATTCTTGAAATGCATGGGAAACACTCTGTACCAGTCAATCCAGGGCAGTGTGAGAAATAGCCTAAAATATGAGATCTCGTCTTCCCCAAATAAAGACACACAGTTAAATTAACATGACTAGCTCTGTAAAGAACTACAGAATCTGCACATTGCTTTCAACTAAACGTCTTTAGCAGAGTGCTACAGAAGCCGGCTTAAAAGTATAGAATTTTGACTAAGTTATTCAGCCTCTTAGCTTTAATGTCCAATTTCCTACCATACCCACTACTTCACATTATGCAATTTAAAATTACTGGCTTCAAGTTTCTCACAGATTAGGTTCCCACAGATTACTTTGTATGAGAAACACTTTTAGAAGTTTGAATTTGGAGCAAAACTAGTCTTTGCCCTCAACTGGAGAATTAATCCATAGTGATATGGACTGCCTCTTCCTTCATCACAGCTATCTCTGGAGACATTTAGATAAAGTTTTTGTTTTTTAAAAAAAGAAACCAATGTTAACTTTAACGTTCAGTAGTCTTTAAAATTGCTACAGGATTAATAACGAATAACACTAATAATAGCTTTATTATTGTAAATTTAGGGAGTGGCCCTATGACAATTGGTGGCCAGTTTAAAAAGACCCAATGATTCTGCTTGAACAGGATGATTCTGGAGGTTCTGCACAATGAAATTGTTTTTGTCTTACTTATCTCTTCAGCAGCTGTCTTCAAACCACAGAACAATATATTAAATTCTACTCTTGTAGACACCGCCAAATCCAATGAAATTCTTCCATAGGGAAATCCTGGCTAAAAATATTTGTGGCTGGTATACCGTATTGAATGGAATAGTTGTTCCTACCTGTTTTGTCAGCCTCGTCCTCTAACTCTTGCAGGAGCTGTTGTCGTATCTCTTTATCACCAGCCAATGAGAAGACATAAGCTAACAGGGCCTTGGGGTAGGTCCCATTCATAGTTTTTGAGTTGTTTCTCAGGCAGCGCAAGGCACCATCTACCATGGTATTCTATAACACAACAGTAGTTAGTTACATTACTAAGCAGAATGCAAGGGGGTGGACCAGATGAATTTTGGGGTACCTTCTAATAGAGTTCTATCATTTCTGATCCCCCAGAAGCAGTGACCTATTTATACACCTGATCTTGGCTGCATTGAATCATTGTAAAAGAACAAAATGAAACAAAATTCTATATAACAAATATTTTGTATTATAAGATTCTAAATATAGGTATTTCCCACAGCATTTATAATGAGGGTCAGCAGCCACTTATGCATATACGTCTGTGCCATAGGCTGAAATGAAATATATGTAATATGTTAGAACTTGCCTAATATAGTGGTGCCTCGCAAGACGATGTTAATTCGTTCCACGAAAATCGCTGTTAAGCGAAAACATAGTCTTGCGAACACACGTTTTCCCATTGAAATGCATTGAAAACCTGATAATCCGTTCCAATGGGAGCGGATTGTCATTGTAAAGCGAAAATTGCCATAGGAAACATCGTTAAGCGAAGACAGCCGTCTAACGAAACAGCGACCATTAAAAGACCCGTCTAGCGAAGCAAGACCAAGCTGTCAAAAACATCGTGAAGAGAAAAACAGGGACCTAAAATTTAATCGTCTTGTGAGGCAAGGTCCCTAACATTGTAAAGCGAAAATCGCCCATAGGAAACATCGTTATACGAAGCGCAAGATCGCTCCGAAAACCTCATCGTAAAGCGAATTCATCGTTATGCAAAGCAATAATCTAGCGAGGCACCACTGTACTTGCTTTGGTGTCAAATGTGTTCAGTCTGTATACATTGTGTCAGAAAATCTGTTCTTCAGGCTCTGTTTTAGCAAAGACCTCAGACGTCTTGCAGAAGAAACAAAAACTAAGGAAGGACTTACATCTGTCTTGAAGTGGAGCTCCAGCAGGGAGGCAGTGATGTAAGCTGTCAGTAAGAAATCATCATCCACGGCGCCCTGTAAATGAGCAGTGAGGTCAAGCCAGAAGGTTGTGAAGGTGCATTTCTTTACATCCCTATTTTGGCAACAGTTCAAATACCCATATTATGCCTGCCTGCCAGGCAACAGCAAGCATCACCTTAAAAGACAGAATATATGACCCAAGGAATAGTTTCTTCCTTGCCTTCCTTGCCCCAGGGACATTTTCACAGGTGATTTTGAAAACCCCTTCTTGCAAAGAATAAGAAGCTGTGTGGAACTTATTGTTCAAGGCTTTGAGCACAAACCCATTAAAAGGCAAGTGCTTCTTTCCAAGACTGGACTTGAGGGGCAAAAAAGAGTGGGAGATACAGAGGTCTGACCATAACCCCAGGACTTAACCTCCACGAAGAACATTGAAATGCAGGGGAGTGGCCATCGTTTCCAGGAGACCTGTGTTACAGAAGGTCAGAGCGGCTCATGTCTCAGGTTAACGGGATCCAAATGAGACTTAGCGCCACAGGAACCACAATATTTTAGGCCTGTCCATGTTATTTTCCTGTCACTGTGACTCTACAGGAAGTAAGGTGTAGAAAGACTGCGACAGAGACCCCTGGTGTACCCACAGGTGTGGCAGATCACCAACCATGCTTTCACCTTAGCGTAGCTCTCCTGACAAAAGAAAAAGCAAAGTGTGCTGCTTATATATTGCCACATAGAGCTTAAAGCACTTCCAGGGGCGGGTGAGTGGGTTACAATTTACTGTACACTTCCCCATTTCCCCACAGAGCTGGATACTCCATTTACCAATCTTGGAAGGATGCAAACCTGAGTCAACCTCAAGCCAGCTACCTGAGCCTGTTAAGTCATGAGCAGAGTATTGACCACAGTACTGCAGTTTAACCACTGCACCACTCCTGCCAGCTTGTGGAAGTATCATATAAATTACTGTAACTATGCTGCAAGGAATAGACAACTTGATTTTTATGACAGCAAATGAGTATAGCTATTCTGGCAGAATCCTTTATGTGCTATGCTACTGCCCCAGATGTCGTTGTTCCTACCTTCAGAGCATTGTTGAAGAGCTTTCCCACATTTTGAAAGCAGCCACTGGGAAGCTGCTGCCGCCCCAACCAGTGAACGGCATCCTGAATATGCTTTTCTTCAATATAGGTATAGGACTTTGCTTGGCCAAAAGCCTTAGCCACAAAAGCTGTCAGCCTGTAGTTCAGAAAAAGAAGAGGGTAGAAAGAACTGAAGTGCAAAGGTCATAGTAGACATCAGCATGTCTTTCTGTTCCACAACAGGATGTTCGGAGAGATCCTTCCTTCAGCATTGGATGTGCAATTACCTTCAGATAACCAATCACAAAGAAAGTACTATATAAATGTTCAGTTCAATTTTACAAGAGGTGCTTCCTCAAATGATGGAAGAGGTTTTATTTTTCCAGAGCACACGATTCTCCTCACTTGCATTTGCCGTTTGCAAGCTTCGTTTTGTGAAAATATAGGCATTGCTTGCAAGTCTCATTCATGACGCATTTTTGAGGGATGAAAGTGGTGTTAGTTGTTGGTAATTTATTTATTTATTTATTTGGCTTATATACCGCCCATCTAGATGAATCTGGGCAGTTTACATTCCAAAAAAAGCAATAAAATTAAAAACATCCACAAAAAGACTAAAAGAAGCAAACATAATCCAAGATCGAAAAACCAAGAGAAGAATTTAAGTAGGCATTCTCCTCAATGTTTGTTTTTTGACTCTCTGATTTACTAATGCTGATAGCTTTTATGTTGCCTGTATGGTACAGGCCGCCCAGCTTAATAATGGCAAGGAAGTGCTGTCAATTCAATTCTGACTTAGGGTGAGTAGGGTTTGCCCTTCCTGTGGGGCCTCTCTGGGACCGTGCAGCGTGCCTAAGGCTACACAGCTGGACTTTGTTCCCAAAAGGCGCAGCATACTTTGCAACCACATATCACAACTCACTGAACTATTCAGCCAACTTGCTCACCAGGTGTTTCCCTCAGCATCATTCTTCCCAAAAGCACTATAGGAACCATCATCATGTTTGTAGAGTAGCTGACGTTGGTATCCTGCAGGGGATGAGTGGGAACAGTATTGTCAGTTCTGAACTTGTACTTGAGATTTACTAAAAGCTTGGTGAATTTAAGGTTGGAGACGGCACAGAACCAGCATGTCTGAAGTCACAATGAGATGATTTTCT